CCAAGCATCCTTGGAGGAGATTTGTCGTGCGGCCACGTGGACATCCCCGGCTCCTTTCATCAGATACTACCGTCTGGATGCTTTTGTCTCGGCGACTGCAGCCTTCGGCAGACAGGTGCTTCGACGAGTGGTTCCACAGTCGGTGTGATGAGCCAGACGAGGACCTGCCTGTGGTTATGCAAGCTTTGGTATGTCCCATCCTGGGCTGTCGATGCAGCATGGAGGAGAATGGGCGTTGGTAGAAGTTACCGTGAACGCCCTTTCTATCTATGCTGCGAGAGAGCCCAGCCCCTCCCTTGATCCATCCGGAGAGGGTAAGACATATTTCTGTATTTATTTTGGGCTTTCAGAGACACCTTTCAGTCTGTCAAGTATCTTCGCCAAAGCTGGGGTCTCTCCCGGGGGCTGGCTTTTATAGCTTAGTACAGACTCAGCTATGACATCATAGGAAGGAGTCAAGCCATCCTGGGCTCTCTCGCAGCATAGATAGAAAGGGCGTTCACGGTAACTTCTACCAACGCCCATTCTGTTTGGTCTGCCCATGGGAATCCTTTTATCTCTTTAGGTTAGTAAATATTGACTTATGATTGAAGTTTGTTTGCCACTACAGTACATTTGTTTGTTTTATTTTTGTTCATGGGCATTGGGCAAAAAAAATATTATTCTGGTCACATCATACTACTAACTTTCTCTCAGAGGATGATCCAATGAATCACAGGGTTGTCTAGACTACATTAAAAAGATAAACAGATTACCAAGCTTAAGTGAGCCACCAAAAAGGCCATGCCTTAGGAGATGTTTGGTCACAGAAAATGTCATAGCAGAGGATCTCGATAGACAAATCGGTAGCTGTAGAAGATGAACATGGGAGAAGATAGCCTTTTTAATATTCTGACCCTAAACAGTTCAGTGGATCTTAGCACTTAGAAATAGGAAGTCAGTTTTTTAAAACAAGGGAGCCATCATGTTCCATGCACCCAATCTTGTTTAGCAATTGGGCTGCTGCACTGGATAACTATAGTTTCTAAAGTGAATATATTTCAGTAAGGCACATGTGAGGAAACTGAGAAGTATCACCTTGGTAAGATCTGCATCCTTCAGAGGTAGGAATAATTGGTAATGGACTTAAATAAGTTAAAACATATTTTCTTCTGGTGATACAGCTTGTAATTTTGGATCTTAAATAGGCAGTTACAAAGATGATGCAAATGTATCATACTGTGAGTGGACAATATCTAGAAATAGGTCACCATTTTCAGATCTGGTTTTGTGGCTCTCTATTCTCTTCTCTTTTCTTTTATCCTCACACTTTTTCTGTGAAGGCACATTTAGCTACATTTTTCCATATAGGAAAACTAGTATTTGGGATATAATGAGATTTTTTTTAAAAGAAAAAGGATGAGAGTGACACTGCTGTTTCTAACTAAGCATTAAGCTTTCATTGATCTTTTGCTACATATTGCAGAGGAGTCTTCATGTTGTGCTGTGGGCGTGGGTCACTATTCAGAGTGATTTATAATAATTCCCCATTGTAAGAGGCAAAGAATGATATATGTGAACTGCTGTTTTTGCTTAGGCAGTGTAATGAAAGGCAGCCCATTACATTGTACTAGAAGCCATGGTTTTCCATAATAATGGCCGATACACAGCTTGCTGTTTATTGCAGAGCAAAAATTATTACCAGGAATTGAGCTCTACTTGAGATGGACTTTCCCTTTATTCTTGCCCATACAATATCTGACTTAAACTTGAGTGAAAAATAAAAGTTGTAGTTATTTTTCATATCAAATTATTCTGGTCATCTCTAATATGTTAAGCAGGTATGACAGGGTTGGTACTATCATTCTTATTCCTAGAATATTTATTGGGATAGGAGTTTTGAAACATCTGAATTGTTTCAGAAACCGTATCTGTATTTGTTTCTAGAACAATAACTGTATTAACCTTTTCCAGTAAAAACAACTAAAAATATTTTAGACTAAAAGATATTATTATTATTGCAAAACCTTTTTGTGGACTTTGGACTGAAATCCATAAAAATGAACTTGATAATAAATGGTTTAGTAATTCGGGTGCTGTGTTTTTTAACTGGATTAGAACATTGTTGAAATACATGCTGAAATAAGTTGTTTTATTATTAAAAATCAAGCAGAAAACTTGCACATGGTTTATGTTGAAATCTTTCTGTTTTTCCATTTCTCTTCCTTTTATGTGATTATTCTTCTATTTCAGTTGGTTCTAAAGCAAAACACTTAAAATTTTACTACAGAATAATCTCAAGTGATGAACTTAGGGCAATAATGTGAAGTGGTATTTAAACAGACATAACATAATTTAATAAGTGAATTAATTCCTTGACTATACTACTTTGCCATAAAAATATTATTTGCAAATAGTCATATACTATTAATGAAAAGGTAAAGATTTCCCCTGTCCAGTCATGTCCAAGATTAGGAGGCGGTGGTAATCTCCATTTCTTAGTCTAGGATAGGGGTCTGCAACCTGTGGCTCTAGAGCAGGGGTGGGCAAACTTTTTGGCTCGGGGGCCGCATTGACTTTTAAAATTTGACAGACGGGCCGGGTCAGCACAAGATTTTTTGGGAATCGCCCCCCCCTCCCCCCCCCCTCCCC